TTTTTTTTTTTTTTTTTTGGTACCAGTGATTGAACTCCCACATTCAAATCACTGAGCCACATCCCCGCCCTGTTGTGTAATTTATTTAAAGACAGGGGCTCACTGAGTTGCTTAGTGCCTCATCTAGTTTTTTATTTTGAGGCAGTGTCTTAGTAAATTGCCCAGGCTAGCTTTGAACTTGTGTTCATCCTGCCTCAGCCTCCAGAGTATCTGGGAATAATAGGCCTGCTCTACCGTGCCCAGCTGTGAAGCTATAGTGTATTGAAGTAATTTTTAAAGATTGGAGTAGGAAGCAGCATTTGCAGTTTCAGATGCCTCTGAAAAAAATCAAGAGATACTCACAGCTAATACGGGATAAGGTATATTAGGAATGAAAAACATGCCTATTTTTAGAGTAATTTCAGTAGATTTTAAACTTAGAAATCCCCTCCACCCCATTTAAACCAAGTCTCATGTTCTGTCCTAATATCAAAAGTATTATCTCTGTCTAGCCAATTAACATTATTCCATTAGCTCAGTAAGTTTTTAACTCTTCACCTCTTTTGGTATTGCATGGAAGTCATTTCCAAGATAGGTATGTGTGGCCCTGCCCCCTGGATCTATTGATCRGAGTCAGAAGGTAGGGCAAGTGTATTTCAAGGAAAATTCCTCATGAGATTTTGGTGCTTAAACTGACAGATGAAAGAACCACTTCTTTGAACAAGTTTGGATGGGTAGGTGACAGACTTTCTTGCAATAAGCTGTGAGGTGAGACCATCTCTCCATTGTAGGGAGCTTGGGGGTCAGCAATGTTATTAGCTTATAAAAACTTGGAAGTGTAGTACAAGTTGAAGTGCTTGCGACCAGAAGTGTTTCAGATTTCAGAGTCTTTTTGATTTGGGGATATTTTCAGTCTTTACCAGTTGAACATAACCCTAATTCAAAAATATGAAACCTGAAATGTTCCACAATCTTAAACTTTTGTGTGCTGTGTTTAAGATTTTGGAATATTTTGGATTTTCAGATTTAGGAGTGACCAGCCTATACTTCCCAATTCTTTGTGTTAGGCTTTCTTCTTAGAATGCTGAAGATTCTTGACTTGCCTACAGAGGCCTGAGATTGCTCTTTAAGACTTGGCTGGAGTTCTTAGTGGGAGTCACAGGAGAGTGCATGAGTTTGCGTGGCTGAAGTGTTAAGAAGTTTTGTTAGAATTTTGTTTCTCTCTTTAAAACAAGTTTGTTTGCTTTAATAATCTAGTTATAAATTTACAATAGAGAAATCATGCATTTCAAGATTTTATTTCCCTAAGAAATCTTGAATCGAGGTGGAGAGGGGAGCGTAGAGAAGTGATTAGTCAGAAATATTCCCAGTTAAATCTTTTTAAAACAGTATTTTGTCTGTGAGACAGTGGAGTACAAATGTCTGAATTTTAGGTTTTATAGTATTTGAGAGTTATATGACCTTTTAATGCTGAAATTCATTGTTTTGATTAATTTAAATTCAATTTATTAAAGTAATGGTAAACCCAGTTGCTAACCATAGCAGGAAGGACTAAATTGATAGGGAATGTGTTAAATTTTTTTTTCTAATGAGGTGTGATTATTTGTTTTGAGATCTATCTTAATTACCATTTAGGAGTAGACTACATGAAAGGGTCAAATTTTTATGTATTTTACATTTCACGTTTGGATTAACCAGTCCCTTGAAATGTTTAATTCTTTAATCAATATTCAAAGTTTAATGTTGAAATTTTCTTTTAATCCAGTGTTGACCATAATTATAAACAAATTCATATTGAACTAATACTATTTTGAAATGTGTTTCAGATATACCAGTATATTCAGAGTCGCTTTTATCGGTCTCCAGAGGTGCTACTGGGAATGCCTTATGATCTTGCTATCGACATGTGGTCCCTTGGGTGTATTTTGGTTGAAATGCACACTGGAGAACCTCTATTCAGTGGTGCCAATGAGGTATTTGATTTATTACTTGTAACAGTTATGATTCTGTTTTCAACCATGGCAGTGTAATCTGAAAGTTTTTCTCAGGGGAAGACATCTAAGGACCTGTGTAGTCATTGAAATGTGAGGTCAATTTTGAACTTTTTTTTTGTACTCTATTTGTCTTGTCAGTTGTTGTATAATGGTGAATTTAGAATTACGAGATGGTGATTAGGATATTTTAATCTACTAATGAAGGAGAACAATCAATTAGACTAGAAAGAATTAAGTATAACACCCCGTTCACTTTTACTGATCTTAAGTATAATAACAGAAAGCTCAAACACAATAATGTAGGAATGGGGGCCATCCTGACAAGTGGAGTAAACATTACTATAAATTTTGAGACTCTGATATAGAATTAAAAAAATAATGACCAGTAGTTGATAGATATACTGTCTGAATAATTTAAGGTAAACTAGGATTATAGGGTCTAGGGCTATAGAATCCCCAAGTCTGTGGTGCCTGGGTTTTTAGTCTGTGTTCCTAGGAGGATTTTTGGAAGTCAAAAGCTGGGAGTGCAAGGGAGAAGCAAAGACTAAGGCAGTCAGAGGAATTGAACTTTCATTTGTTTTAAAACTATCTACTTGTGGAGTAATATTTGTTAGTTCTAAATAAAAGTTGATCATTGTGGATCTTGATCAGAGTATTCACTTACAAATGATAAAAGGCAAAAGACAAGTGACTTGTACTAGATTTTCTAGTTGTTAGTGGTAATGTCAGAAACTCCTCCTTTCTATCTCTCTGTTTAACTTATTTCAACTTCAGCTAGTGAGCTCTTCTGGCAGCAACTCCTATAGGATTTGTTTTTGTTATAGTATAAGTAATAGTACCCTGTGAATTAGTAACTTTGCGGGGCTTAAATACTATGAGGATCACATGAAAAACACCAGAGTCCTTTGAAGTGTTCACACATCCTTCTGATATAGTTATCTCTGCACTATCTTTTCTCCCCTCCCTCTCGCCCCCCATTCTCTGGTCCAGCACACAGCCTTCTCTGTTGTCCCTTGAAAATACCAGCCACAGGCCCATATCAGGCTCTTCTCCTTTGTTCCTCCAGGCCTGAAAGTCTTTCTTTCAGGTAGTACTTGGCTCCTTCCCTCACCAACTATAAATTAGTGGGCTCACATCACCTTTTCAGTGAGATCTTGTGTAATACTCTCTTCAAAGTTGCAGCACCCCTTCTTCCTACTCCTTTTTATTGTCCTCTATGCTGCTTATCATCATCTGGTAGAGCTTGTTTAATTACTGAGAGCCTTCCTATTTGTAGGTTCATGTCCTTGGATTCAACCACCTGCAGGTCAGAAATATCTGGGAAAAAATCGTGTCTGTACTGAACATGTGTAGGCTTTTTTTCGTGACACATTTCCTTAGAGGATACAGTATAACTATTTAYACTGTATAAAACATTTATACTATATTAGGAATCATATGTAACCTAGAGGTGATTTCAAGTATATGGGAGGATAWGCATAGTTTCTATGCAAATACTGTATCATTTATTTAAGGGATTTGAACATGCACGGATTTGAGTAGCCAGGGTGGAGATAGGGCTTCCCTGCCTGGAACCAATCCCCCAAGGATGCTGAGGGATAGTGATTTGCTCATTGTTAGTCTCTCCCCACTGAAATATAAACTTCTTTTTGAAATATTTTGTCTGTTTATTGATATATTCTATTACTGAGCATGGTTTCTAGCAGATAGTAGACACTTGGTATTTGATGAATGAGTCTGTACTTAAAAAAAAATACTACAAAACTTTTATTGGATCCACACTTTATTCATCTGTGAGATTTTTATTGATTACTTAAAACTCTCCAAAAACGGAAACTAAAACATCCATCCTTTCTTATTGTTCATTGTATCTAGGACACTTAACACACTACAAATTACAAATTCATGTGTTTGTTAATTGCCTCCCTTCCCTGCTGTGAAGTGTTTGGCTCCAGGAGGGTAGAGAATTTGATTCTGTTTGGTCATTATTATATATTTAGTACCTGACAGATAGGAGATGCTGTTTATATATTTATGAATGAATTGAGGAGAAGAAGTAGGATGAACAGTAAAAAATATATAATTTATTTATTTTTTTTCTAATACAGGTAGATCAGATGAATAAAATAGTGGAAGTTCTGGGTATTCCACCTGCTCATATTCTTGACCAAGCACCAAAAGCAAGAAAGTTCTTTGAGAAGTTGCCAGATGGCACTTGGAACTTAAAGAAGACCAAAGATGGAAAACGGGTAAAATAGGGATTCAGTTTTTGTGGGGTTTTCTTCCATCTTCCCTCCCCCCCCCTATTGTTTTATAATCTTTTGACTTCAGTGTTAATAGTCAACATGTTAATTAATTTATAGCTATTTCGTTCAGAAGTTTGACCTGAACTATCTATATGTGTTTGGTTAATCATCAGGATTCTCTTCCCAGATTCATTTTAAAAAACCCAAAAAAAAAACCACCAAAAAACTGTATGCATGCATTTGGATACAGCTGACSAAATCACCATGTTTTGTTCCAATACTAGAATCAATATGTTTGACCTTTATTTTTCACAGCCTGGGCATATAGTGAAGCTACGGTTAATTAACAGCAGCACCACAGCTGTGAACAGAAGTCATAATTGCAGTAATTTTTTTTCTTTTTAATAAAGGTGGTAAAATATGTAAGAAAACTATTGAGCATGAACAATTTGTGATTTTTCAAGGATATGAACTAACCAGAGGGTCCTTTGATAGATTTTGGATTCCCAGTTTAGATCTAACTAGCAAGAATTTCAGCCTGATGTAGTGCTGTACACCTGTAATCCCAGCAACTTGGGAGGCTGAGGCAGGAAGATCAAGAGTTCAAACCCAGCCTCAGCAACTCAGTAAGACCCTGTCTCTGATAAAATATTAAAAATGGCTGGGGATGTGGCTTAAGCAACCCTAGGTTTAGTCCCCTCCACCCCCCAAAATCAAAATCTGTGAAAGTGAGGCTTTAAAATGTTTACATTTATTTTCGCAGTTGTTTTATATCCAAAGACTTCTTCCTGATACTTAGAGTATATCCGTTTAATTGAATAAATGGTGGTAGTGTTACTTCTTGACTTATACTTTGTTTTAGATATCTATAAATTACCATGCATCTTGCAATCTATGATGTTTTTGTTTTAGTTAATTTTTTAAAATTTCTTATTTTTTCCAATTAGTTATACATGACAATATAATGCATTTTGACACATCATACATAAATGTTAGTTGATATATTATCCTTGCATTTTAGTGGTGCTGCCACCAGGTGTCATATTTAGTGAACTGAAGATGATGGTTGTTCCCTTTAATTCACTTCTACTTAGCTGTGGGTCTTGTAACATCAGATGATTCTTAGAATACCTAAAAATATATTTGTAACCATTTCTTCCACAATTGACATCTAATTTATAGTTAGTTAAACAGACAAATTTCATATACATTAGAATCTTTACAGTTTTTATTATTTTGTTTTCATTAATTTATCAAAACATTATTTTGGAGGACTCATTTATATTATTATGCTTCAGGACTTACTTTGTTGCTTTGTAGTATTTCATTGAATGACTATCTATATTATCTATATATTGGGCCGGGGGTTGTGGCACATGCCTATAATCCCGGTGACTCTAGAGGCTGAGTCAGGAGGATTGCAAGTTTGAGGCTAGCCTGGATAGGGAAACAAGACCTGGTCTCATATTAAAAAGGGGCTGGGGAAGTAGCACCCCTGGGTTCAATCGCCAGTACCAAATAAATAAAATAGTTTATCTATATTCACTGTCAGTAAATATTTGGGTTGTTTCTAATTCTTGACTATTTGAATAAGGCTACTGAGAACATTCCTGTATACGTAAGTCTTTTCTACCCATAGTTTTTTTTTTCTTCGGTGGTACTGCCTAAGAGTAGAATTGCTGAACCATAGGGTGTATATATATGTTTACCTTCATAATAAAATACTAAACAGTTCTGCAAAGTTTTTATATTATTTTATATTTTCATGATATGATAATTCYGGTTGCATGGCATCATCCTCACTGTTTGAAATCTGGGTTTCAGCCATTCTAGTAGATATATAGTGGTTTGTATTTGCATGTCTGCATGATTCGTGTACCTGTTTATGTGCTTATTTGCCATTCGTATGACACGTCTTTCTAGTCTTTTGCCCATTTATTATTGGGTTGTTTAATTAGAGTTTTAGGAGTTTCTTACATACTCTGGATGTAAGATCTTGGTCACATATGTAGGTTAGTATGTTTTCCTGGACTGTGGCTTATTTCTTTTTTTGAATATGGTATCTTTCGATGAGAAGCAACTTCTAAAATTTGTCTATTTTTTTTTAATAGAAGTACTTTTTAGATCTTGAGAAATATTTTCCATCCTCAAGTTTGTGAAAATGTCCCCCCCCCTTTTTTTTTTTAATTCTTACTTGTGTGGTTAGGATTCTGTGTTCGTCCTGAATTTTTAACTATGAAATAAAAGTAAAGGGTTTAAAGTCGGCATCATTTGTTGAAAACAGTTCCCTTTCCCTGTTGATTTGATTTGGGACTTTTGTCGAAAATGAATTTATCATTTATTTGTTCATATTTGAATTATATTCTTTTCCTTCTCTAGCCTTAAATCTATTCCACAGTATTGATTACTGTAGCCTTTAGTAGACCCTGAATTCGAGTAGTTTAAGTCTTCTAGCTCTATTGTTCAGTTTCAAAGCTATTTATTTTCTATTTTCCATCCTTTCTATTTATATATGAATTTTTAGAAATCAACTCATGCATTTATACCAAAAAATCCTGTTCGAGTTTTGATTTAAGTGGCATTGAGTTTCCATTTATGAGAATGGGCAATTTTTATTTATTTTTAAATTTTATTTATTTATTATTTTTTAAATTTTTCATTGCTAATACACAGAAATACAATTGAATTTGTATATTGACTTTGTGTCCTAAGACCTTGCTACATTCCCATGTTCTAATATTTTGTTGTTGAGAACAGTGTTTTCAGCGTTTTCTACTTAGACAGTTATATCCTGTATGAATGAAGGCAGTTTTATTTATTTATTTTTCAGTTCTATTTCTTCTTATTCTTGGATTATCATACTAAGAGATCTATATGTTGAATAGTAACGGTGAGAGAAGACATTGTCCTTGGCTCCTAGTCTTAGGAGAAAAGCACATGGCCATTTAACATTAAGTGTGATGTTAGTTGGCATAATTTTTTGTAGATGTCCTTTATCAGGTTGAAGGATTACTTTGTCTGTTTTAAGAGTCGTTTTAGATATTTAAATGATGAATGGACATTGAATCTTATCGCATAGTGTTTCTGTGTCTATAGAGATGATCATAATATTTTCCTTTTGTAATATGGTTAAATGCATTAATTAATTTTTGAAATGCCAACCCATGATAAACCATGCTTTGTGTTGATACACTGTTCTCTTTTATATATTGCTGAGTTCATTTCACTAGTGTATTAGTAAGGAATTTTATTTCAGTGTCATTATGAATATTTATAGTTGTCATTAGGGTTTGATCTCAGGATTATGCTGGCCTCACAAAACGATTGTTCTTTCTTGATTTTCTGAGAAGATAAGATAGGTTGGCATTATTTTATTTTATAAATGTTTAATAGTGTTCTTTGATAAAATCATAAGAAGCTATCATCCTTTTTGTTAAATGGTAATCTATTATAATTCATGTCTTTGAATATAAATATATGGCTATCCAAAATTTTTTTTTTTTTTTGGTTTTGAGTTAGTTTTGAAAAGTTACGTATTTCAGGAAACTTTCCTTCTCACTTAAGTTGTTGAAATTATTAATATAAAATTATCAGTAACATTTATCTTTTAAATTTTTGGAGGATCTATAATGACAGTGACTGTTTTATTCCTGATATTCATCGTATGTGTCTTATCCTTTTTCCTCAGTAGTCTTGCTAGGGACTAACTTGATAATGTCCCAGTTATCAAGTTTATTAATCTTTCCAATAATAACTTTTGACTTAGGGTCATCGCCAGTCCCTTGTCTCCTGCCAATCTTGGTCTAGTTATTGTTGTGTTCATTTTTGTTCTTTATTGTGTTGAGTTGAATTGGCTCTTTTTCTGGTTTCTTAAAGACAAAGCTTAGATCATTGATTCCTCTTATTTTCTTATAGTACTTATGTTATAAATTTTCGTGTAATCACTGCTTTAGCTGCATCCTGCAACTTTTGACATGTTGTAACTGTCATTTATTTTGAACTATTTCTCTTGTGATTTCTTCTTGAATTCACAATTCAATTTTTAACTTTTTAAAGTTTTTGGTAGACCTTTATTTTATTTATTTATATGCAGTGCTGAGGATTGAATTCAGTGCCTCACACATGCCAGGCAAGTGTACTACTGCTGAGCCACAGCCCCAGCGCTCACAATTCAGTTTTCTTCTTATATAATTTCAAAATGTTTGAGAGTTTTTCTGAACCATTTATTGATTCCTAGTTCAATAGCTTTGTGATAACAAAACATATGATTTTAGTCCTTTAAAATTCACTGAGAATGCCAGACACAGTGATGCACAACTATAAGCCCAGCAACTCGGGAGACTGAGGCAGGAGAATCAAAAGTTCAAAACTAGCCTCAGCAAATTATTAAGGCCCTAAACAACTTAGCAAGACCCTGTCTCAAAATTTAAAAAGGACTGGGAATGTGGCTCAGTGGCCTAGCACACATGTGCTCTTTGCTCTCGATGAATGTTTTATGTGTACTTGACAAAAATTATATTTTGTGCTGTGGTCTATAAATATACATAATATAGGTCAAGTTGTTTGATATTTTTCTTCACAACTTTTATAAGCTTGCTCTGTGGGTGTTTCTGTGCATGTGTATATCTTTGATAATGTTTAAGTCTACTTTAATATTACTGTAGCCATACTAGCTTTCTTACTCTTAACATTTACATGGTGTTTATATTTTTCTCCATTTACTTTAAATCTGTTCATACTTTTATATTTAAGATATGACTTTTTATTTATGCAATATATGGATGGGGCACGTTTTTTAATCTAGGTTGATAGTTTCTAATCACCTCATGGGATTTAAGATTTACTTGGGTTCTTTTTGTTTTACATGTTTCTTGTTTCCTGAAGTTTTTTTAACCACCTTTTGTGTTTATTGAGTACTTTTTGGTATTTCATTGACTTTACTTACTTGGCTGCTGTCTATAATTTTTTAATGTTGCTCTTATAACATTCAACTTTTATAGCATTTTTATTTCAAACAATATTATATCACTTGATAAACAATGTAATAACCATGTAGTTCTGTGTAACTCCTTCCACTTTTTGTGTTCTTGTCATTTTTACTTCTGTGTATAAGCCTCATAACATATTATGGACCATTTAAACAAAAAATTTAAAAATTAACTTTTAAGGATATTTTAAAACATTAAAAAGATAATAGATCTTTTATGCTTATTCTTTTATTTGCTCTTTCTGGTATTCTTCACTCCTCACAGTTCTTGGCTTCTATTTGGTATTATTTTCCTTTTTGGGTTTTTACGTTAGATAATTTCTTTGTTTTTTCAATTCCATGTTTGGTCTACTATTAAAGCCACTAAGTAAATTCTTCACTTTTGATATTTTAATTCTAGCATTTCTATTTTTTTTTTTTTTTTGGTATTGGGAGTTAAACTCAGGAGCGCTATACCCACTGAGCTACCGCCTCAACTCTTTTTATTTATTTTGAGAGAGTCTCACATGCTCAGGCTGGCCTTGAATTTGGCAGTCCTCCTGCCTTAGCCTCCTGAGTAGCTGGGATTATAGACATATGCCACCATRTTTGGTTATCCCTTTTTTATTTTTTTCTTCCTTTAAATTTTTCTCTTCTGAAATTTCCCATCTGTCCAMGCCTGTTTGTCCACCTTTTGAACCAAATTCTTTAAACTATTCATTAATTTAAAATATCTCCTTCTCAGTTTCAACATCTGGGCCACTTGTTAATGAGGGTCTCCTGTTATCCTTTTTTCCCACTTAATTGTGGATTCCTTTGTTTTAGTTTTTGTGTCTGTAACTTTATATATGCCAAACTTTTCTGTATTTAAGAACAGTTGAGGTAGAAATAAATCATTTCCCATTAGAAACAGACATTCTTCTCACTCTGTCAGGCTTCCTGTTAGTTGGGTTCTGAATCAATCTTACTTGTACTTCAGCTGAATCTGGTCTTTGTTTATTTGACTCAGATTCTATTCATCACTGTCTGAGATGTTCCTCAAAGCAATTTTTGTGTCCTAGGTCCCRGGGAGACTCTGTATCCATTACTAACCCACCCACATCTAACTTTCTAGCCTGGGAGATCTTTCTTCCTTCTGCTGCCCTGTACCTTCCTTCTGCCTGTCAAAGGCCAGGTCAGAGCTGGATTCTTCTTACTCATGTCTGTGGCAGGCTGGCTCTTCCTCCCATCATAGATCTCTTCTCTCCTGGAAGAGGCTTTTTTGTTTTTTAAAGAATTCTATTATTTCTGATTCCTTTGGGGCCTTCAGTTCTCTGATAGCTTTCTGTTTGGATCTACCCCCCCCCCACCCCCAAATCAGTACTGGGGATTGAATCCCAGGCCTTACAAGTGTTCTACTACTGAGTTATATCTCCCTGTCCTTTTTATTTTATTTTGAGATAGGGTCTCTCTAAATTGCCCAAGCTGGTCTTGAACTTGCAGTCTTCTTCCTTCAGCCTCTTAAGTAGTTGATATTATAGACATGCACTCACACCCAACTACTGATTTTGGTCCAGTAAGATGTCATATGCCTGTAATCCCAGCAATTTGGGAGGTGGAGGCAGGAGGATCACAATTTCAAGGGCAACTTCAGAAATTTAGCTAGATGCTGTCTCAAAAAATGAAAAATGCTGGGGATAAAGTTCAGAGGTAAAGCAYCCTTTTGTTTAATCCCTAGTATCCACAAAGGTGGGAAGGGGGTAATGATTTTGTAAATTATCTGGCTCCACCTTGCTTTTAGAGTGGAAAGAAGTCTTGAACAAATTTCTACATTGTTGTTAGAAGCCAAAGTCAAGGGTTGATATTACAAATCAATTAAATATTTATAGAAACTTTAAGGGTCATACTATTACCTATTTAAAAAATGAATTTTTAGAAAATCTCAACACATCAAGTAATTTATTATTAGACATTTTCTAAAGGGGGAGGCATTAGTAATTTGCTTAATTTATGTCCTGTGAGCAGGTTGGGTTAGACCAGGGCTGCTTTGTGGGCACAGTTGGAGTGATTGTCAAAGCTTTGGTGAACTACTGCTAGAAGGCAGTGCAGCAAGTTGTCAGATGCAGCAGCAGAAAAGGACTTCCTACTCCCTGCTGTGTGCGGGTGGTGGTGGGGTGTCATTGTTTTGGGCTTCGTGGGCCTCTGTTGCATATTCTTGTATGTTTTGGTTTGCTTGATTATTTGTTTTTATAATTTTAAAATATTTTTTTACTTGTAGTTGGACACGATACCTTTATTTTTATGTGGTGCTAAGGATCAAACCCAGCGTCTTGCACGTGCTAGGCGAGCACTCTACCGCTGAGCTATAACTTTTAAAAAATGTACAGAACATTTCTAGCTGGAGCAGTGTGAAAACGGACTCTGGGTTGAGCTATAGTTTGCTGACCCAAGGCTTAGATGATCTTCATGGTCAATTTTGGACTCAAAAGTATGTTGGAGTTCTCTAACCACAGTGCTTTCAAAACAGTAATGTGTGAAAAGGCAGGAGAACTAATGATAAAATATCCTTCATATAAATGCCTCAACATAGTATATTTAAATTTACTTGCAGTTAAATTATGTGAGCTTTTACACATTCCAACACATTTAGATAAAGTCTGTGATCCTTTTTCTCTTATAGGAGTACAAACCACCAGCAACCCGTAAACTTCATAATATTCTTGGAGTAGAAACAGGAGGACCTGGTGGGCGACGTGCTGGGGAGTCGGGTCATACGGTAGCTGACTACTTGAAGTTCAAAGACCTCATTTTAAGGATGCTTGATTATGACCCCAAAACTCGGATTCAACCTTACTATGCCCTGCAGCACAGTTTTTTCAAGAAAACAGCTGATGAAGGTACAAATACAAGTAATAGTGTATCCACAAGCCCTGCGATGGAGCAGTCACAGTCTTCAGGCACCACCTCCAGTACATCGTCAAGCTCAGGTCTGTTCTTTGAATATTCGGCTAGGCTTGCAAATAATTTCATGTTTCCTTTACAAAGTGGAAATCTTTTGAACTGTTTATAAAAGTTTGTAAATCGGGTGGGGTTAAATTACTTTAGTTGAATCTGTTGTAAGTTATTAGTAGTAAATTCATTCCCTCCAAGACTCCCACAGTTTAATTGCACATCTAATGGTCTGTCTGGTAGGAGGAAACAAGTATTTATTAACCAGAATTTTAAATTACTTTTTAAAATGGAATGATTTGCCTACTTGCTTGAGTTTTCCCTGCACCTGACCAACTGTGGTTTTATTTAGTTCAGTGGCTGATGTGAGAGAACTTGTTTTAGTCAGAGAATCCAGTGACCTTGTGATATACATTGTTGGACAGAATCAACTTCAAACTAACAGGTTATACTGTGTTGTGATATTTAAGGTGGATCATCGGGGACAAGCAACAGCGGGAGAGCCAGGTCAGACCCGACGCACCAGCATCGGCACAGCGGTGGGCATTTCACAGCTGCCGTCCAGGCCATGGACTGTGAGACACACAGTCCCCAGGTATGCTCTCACATGGTGCTCGTTAACCTTTCCTGCTCACGTTTAGCAGTATTGGATGACATGTCGTTTATTCTAAAGGTTTATAGTGTCCTTATTTCTAAGGAAATATAGCTTTATTCTAACTGAAGAAGCACATCCTAGTAATTTCAAATACGTCTCTAAAATCGTTCCTACTGTGCTACATCATGATGCCTTTTTTTTTTTTTTTTTTTTTAACATCATGATGCTTTATCGTGAGAAGCCAGTGTGTTTAATGGATGAAATATACCTGATGTTGATTAGTATTTCCATCTTGTGACTAGGCAGCTCAGTGTTGCTGGAGAAGATCTAAGACACAGCTATTTGTTAATATTCCCAGCTTCTACTGATTGATCTTACATTTTTCTCCAGTTGTCCCATTTTTCTCTCATTAATTATTCCAGACTTTTCTTCTCTTAATAGAAATTTTGGCTTCTCCTTCTGTTTTCACTTACTTTTGGTTTATAAGGAAGTCAGTCTTCAGACAGGAACCCCCTCCACTTTGTATCATTAAAAATGCGGTCCTGCTGGGCCCGGTGGCGCACTAGCCATCCTAGTGGCTTGTGAAACTGAGGCAGGAGAAACACGAGTTCAAAGCCAGCCTTGGCAATGGTGAKGTGCTAAGCAACTCAGGGAGACCCTGTCTCTAAATAAAATACAAAATAGGGCTGGGGATGTGGCTCAGTGGTTGAATGCCCCTGAGTTCAATCCGTGGTACCCTCATCTTCCAAGTGCACTTCTGCCTTTGTGCAAATTCATCTAATTCTCCTCCACCTCCTTTTCATTAGAAGCAGGGCRTTTCCACCTGTCTAAGGCCAAGCCCACCTGGCCCTCACCTCTTGCTATCTAAAGTACCTTGCCCTCTGTCTGGCATGTGTCTGCAGCCTCCTCTTCCTGTCCAGGGGCATTTCATCACACTCAGTTCTCTCCTGTATCAAGCAAAATCTTTATATATTCCCCTGTCTTTCTCACCCTACACTCTGCTACCTGAGGTCTCTTTTCTTCACTCTTTGGAAGAACACTTTGGTCATTTCATTTAGCTTCCTGTCCCTAGCCCTGGTGACAGTGCAACTGATAATCTTCACCTGTGAGTCCAATAGACACTTTGATGCTTTATCTATATTTATTTCTTAACTGCATTTGACAATATTGGTTCTCCCTGCTTTTTAAACACTTTCTGGTTTCGTTAGTAGTATGCTTCCCTATGTCCCCATTTCTCTGACCTTTCCTTTGTCTTCTCTATTGGATTCTCCTACTCACCATGAAACCCCAGTGTGCCTTGAAGCGTGACATGTGTCCTGCCTCTTCTGACTTTGCATACTTCCTGGATGACTTCAGCAACTCTTCCCAATGATAGCACTCATCATCTTTATATCAAGCCTTCCTAAATCTTTGTTTTTTCATTTAGATTTCACTCCTGAGCTATAGGGCCTTTATTTATAATTATTTACTACAAACATTACTTAGGAAAATCTCAACAATATGATCCTGCAGGTGGATCACATAAACTGATACTGTCATTTTCAGCCCCAGCCCAATTCTTGTTCTATCACCTATTCTTGGTTTAAACAAACAAACAAACAAACACCCTAAATTCATTCATGTGCTCAAGTCATAAGCCTGAGGACTGGGAGTTCATTATTTGATTCCTTTTCTTCATCTCCCACACTAAATTGAACAGTAAATTATGTGGAATCTCAACATCTAAATTTGTTTTTAATTTTCTCCACTTAACCTCATTCTGCAGCATCTCTCCCCTGTCTTACTATGAAGAATATCCTGGTCTTCCAGTGTCCCATTCCATTCACCTGTCAGCACCATTCTCTTCTCTGCAGCCAGGTGAACTTAAAGTGTCTGATCTTACTATTTCCCTGACTTTATACCAGTTTTTGGCTTGACATTGTATTTAAAATTGAAATTCATATTTCTTACCAAATTCATAATAATTTCCATGATATAGCCTCCATCTTTATCCACTGCCCTTACTCTTTTAATACTGATTCTCACACCATCCCACACACAACTTTTTTGGAATGTGCCACACTCTCTTTTCTTACATTGCCTACGCTCTTAGCCTAAAACACTTTTTTCTCCACTCTTACCTAGTAACTGCTATTTAGACTTCAGATCTTAAGTGTAGCTACTCCTAAAGGCTGTCCCAAATTCTTTAGACTATCCTTCCTTCCTCTCTTACAATTGGGATAACATAAGACCACCTGTGCTTGACAGAAGTCAGTATTCTACTTCAAATTCTTTCCTTTCCCTTTCCCTTCCTTTCCATTCCCTCCCTTCTCCCTCTTCATCTTCCCCTCCTTCCCTTAACAGGGTCTTTCCCAAGCTGACTTTGAGGCAGTGATCCTCCTGCCTTACCCTCTCAAGTACCTGGGATCATAGGTGTGCACCATCCTTGCATATTATTTAATTTTGAATAGTTGTATAATCACATGGTTGAAAAAACAAGTAAATATAAATGGTGATTTCAATGAAAAGTCTTCCCTTTCATATTCTCTAGCCATCCAATTTTTAATAAAAACTAATGTTATTAGTTTTTATATCCTTTGTAAAATATTTTATGCATATACAAGCAAATACAAATGTATTCTTCACCCAACATTTGTAGACAAATAGTAGACAACACACTCTTTTTTTTATTATTATTATTGGTTGTTCAAAACATTACAAAGCTCTTGACATACCATATTTCATACATTTGATTCAAGTGGGTTATAAACTCCCATTTTTACCCCGTGTACAGATTGCAGAATCACATTGGTTACACATCCACTGATTTACATATTGCCATACTAGTGTCTGTTGTATTCTGCTTCCTTTCCTATCCTCTATTATCCTCCCTCCCCTCCCATCTTCTCTCTCTACCCCATCTACTGTAATTCATTTCTCTCCCTTGTTTTTTTTTTTTCCCCTTTCTCCTCACATCCTCTTATTGTAATTTTGTATAACAATGAGGGTCTCCTTCCATTTCCATGCAATTTCCCTTCTCTCTCCCTTTCCCTCCCACCTCTCATCCCTGTTTAATGTTAATCTTTTTCTCATGCTCTTCCTCCCTGCTCTGTTCTTAGTTGCTCTCCTTATATCAAAGAAGACATTTGGCATTTGTTTTTTAGGGATTGGCTAGCTTCACTTAGCATAATCTGCTCTAATGCCATCCATTTCCCTGCAAATGCCATGATTTTGTCATTTTTT